TCGAGGTCCTGAGTTTTCTTTTCTCTCATGGCTTCCATGGCCTAGATATCTGCCTACCCTAGCTACCCTAGGTTCTGGCTCCATCAGATAGATCCAAGGTGGAGCTCTCACTTAGCAGCACGTGCAAGCCTGCCCTCTGTCAGCATCAGATGCCCCACATCGATTCCTCTAGGGTTGTGATCGCACACAATTCCAGCTTTCTCCTCGCAACTTCGTGATCCGTCTCCGTCGACACAGGGAATCAATCAGCAGCAATGGCGAGTACGTGCAGCCTCAGAGGACGCTTCGAGGCAGAATCATAGATCACTGACATTGTCGCAGAGTCAAAGAACAGCTCCCAGCACAACCAGTCGCGCAAGGCGCACAGGAACGGGTAATTATACCGAATTTCCCCAACATTGCCGACTGTCGCTGACTCTTGCGCAGTATCAAGAAGCCCAAGACTTCTCGTTACCCCTCTCTCAAGGGTACCGACCCCAAGTTCCGACGAAACCATCGACATGCTCTTCACGGCAACATGAAGGCCTTGGTACGAAACGCACCCACCGAATGAAGCGACATTTGCCCGCGCACCGAAACAACTGGCTAACCAGATCTACAGAAGGAGGCTAAGGAGGGCAAGCGCGAGACTGTCTAAGATACCTATCGGCAAGGGAAAACGGAGGCGTCAATTTGGAGCATTCGCATTGCTCGGTTACGGCATACAAACGATAGAACTCACGCACAAAATGAAACGATGGAAATAAACACCCATGCGGTCAGCCCGACGAGAAGATGGTGGCATGGCAGTCGACAGGTCCCGTCCCGGCGTTCAACGTTTTGATGGCCCCGAGTAAAGCATGTTGCTTGGTTTCCATTCCGGGGACATGAGGTAGTAGACGGAAAAACTTCTACCTGAACTCCATACTACAAGGTCCAATATGCAGTGAATTTGTCCGTGACATGCTGTCTAGACCCTAAATCTGTTCCATTTTCTCCGTATCGTCAGTTGAATCGCTGACCTACCTATTCTTGTGACTCGCTAGTAGTGGTCGTGTACCCTGAATTTTGAGCTGCACCATGCGCCCCCCCCTGTTTCAAATGCTTAGTCGCTGAACCTGCCGTTCGATCATCTGGTAGAGAGAGTGTTCTTATTCATGTCTCAAACCTTGTGATAGATCTATAGTATCCATCTCGTCGTACCGTCTCATTGCGTCAACTGCCCGCTGTGTACTAAACAGTATAGGTTGGTACATACTGTACCTAAAATTGGTTCCCTAAGCTATCTCCAACTAGACCTTTCCTGGAGACTCTACCTCCGTTTCGATCATGGCAAGGTTACCTACCTACGGATACATAGAACTGATAACCAAGGACGGTTTGCCACTTTGAAACCTGAAAAGCGCCTGAGGCAACAATGTTTATTGGCAAGGATTAATGGCCTTTTTTCTGCTACCGATAGGCCCGTGAGCCCTTGGCGGGCGGGCACGCACTCCCCGATTAGGTAAGCCCAGGGGCTGAGGCCTTCGCAGTAGGCTAGGTGCTAAGTTATCGGAACACGAAGCCATTCTCTTCTGCTTCCGATCATCCCTCTGTCCTTGACGAGCCAACCTCTAGAGGACGCCGGTCCTTTGCTTCATACGTCGGCGGGATTTAATCAGGATTTCTGTGGCCTGCCTGGAAGCAGACTTCGTCCCTTCTTTGACTACCTGTACCTACTTAGGTGTCGTTTATACTCGGTATGACGCCTCCCCCCCTCTCTCCGTTGCTTCTGCTTTCTCCTTCTATTTCTGCTTCTTCTTCTCCCAAGACTGTCGTACCAGCTTGGTAAATCACTTCAACAAAGGGGCTCCCTGCTGACACTGGCACTCGCAGCACTGTTCGTCGTTTGGCAGATAATGTTCTAAATTTCCTGCCTTGCTTCAAGTCTTAAGCTCCTTTGAGGTCAGCCGGTCACTGCAGGAGTCGAGAGACGATTCTTGTAACATCTTTGCTTGCCACCGTCACATTCTGCACTCGTCGCTATTTACTACTACCAATAACCCTTCCGAAACCACCAACCCTCGATAATGCTCAACATGTCTGGAAACCACGTCATCGGAAACAGAAACAGCACGCCCGAGGCCAATAGCACCTCGACCTTGAGGCCACCGTCCTCTCGAGCCGTTGGTTCTGGTCATTCGCTTCGCGCCTCGGCCGACATGGCGTCCCTGACTGGTCCTTCCCCCTCCAGCCGCATTCGACCCTCTTCCGATTTCTATGGGCAGGCTCAGCAGAACCTTGGCCCCAACAACGCCGAATCGGACTCCCAGGACAAGATTGCCCAGCAGTGGATTGCCGACATTGACCAGTACGAAACAACGCTGGAGGAGATGGCTGCTGCTACTCTGGACCAGGACTTCAAGGACGAGCTCAGTGCCATTGAGCAATGGTTTCGTGTCTTGAGTGAGGCTGAACGCACCGCCGCCTTGTATGCCCTCTTGCAGCAGACAACTCAGGTTCAGATCCGCTTCTTCATCCAGGTCCTCCAGCAAATGGGAAAGAACCATCCCATGTCCGGGGTTTTGTCCCCTGCCAGCTTCGACAAAGGTATGTTTGTTGACATAGTCAGATTTGTTCCACCTCTAACGTGCCATTTTCCCCAGATCCTATGTCGAACCGTCTAAGTGATGCAATGAACAAGCTCAATGTCGACTCTGCCCGTAATTCCATGGCCCGTAACTCGGTTATCGCCCCATCCAACAAGCGACATTCAGGACTCGACCCCTCCACCATCAGTGCCATGTTCCCCGATGCCGCAGCAGCCATTGCCACAGAGAAGGCCAAGTTCACCCAGCAGACTGGGAACCCGCCCTCCTCGAACCGCAACAGTGCCGCTTTGGATCACCGTTCGTCCATGGCTGCTCCATCTATCAGTGCGCCCCAGGATAGCCGTGATGCTGGACCTGCTAGTTCTTCGCCTTGGAATAGTGGCGGTAACGCAGACTCTGGCAAGGCACCCTCTGCTCAGGCCCCCATGGGCCAGTTTGTGCAGCCAACACCATCTGGTGGGCTTCGCTCTCCACGTCCGCAATTGTCAAGCAACAATACGATCCAGCAAACGACTCTTACTGCCCCTGATAAGAACCCTGGGGACCTGCCTTTGCTTTCACCGTACAATGCTGGCAGCGGCAACTGGGCGTCAATGGTAAACACCCCTATGACTGGCACCTTCAACACAGCCAACACCGGAGGTAACCAAGCCGATATGGTTGCCAACGCCACTGCCATGAAACTCGCAGCTTTGTCTACAGTCAATAACCGGTTCGCATTGGATGACGTGCGCAAGTACCGTCGAACTAGGTCTAATGACGGCACGCAAGGACAGAATCCTGTCTCCGTTGGTCCACAGCCTGGAATCAATCTCCCAAACACGAATGTTGTCATGATCAATGAACATGGCCAGGTCCTTAGCAGAGAACAGCTCATGGCGCTCCAGGCGCAGCAAAACCTTGGTTTGGGTGGTCAGCGCTCTCGTCCCAGCTCTCCTGGAATTGCCATGCAACCTGGAGTGCCCCATATGGCACCGTTCACCTCACCACAGAACAATGGATTCCTTAGTGCGTACGATGTGTCCTCGCCACTGATTACAGGCGGTATGCAACCGGTCAACTTGGGTGGCCTTGGGATGCCTGGCCACGAGGGCTACTTATCTGATCATTCGGACATGGTTCGTGGCCGATCTCCTCGTGGGAGACGAGGCAGCTCCAAGCCTCCTGAGGACCCGACCGACCCAACCCTGCTGCAGGACATCCCCAGTTGGCTCCGCAGTCTCCGCCTTCACAAGTACACCGATAATCTCAAGGATATGAAGTGGACGGACCTTATCGAGTTGGACGACAAGGCCCTGGAAGAGCGTGGCGTCAACGCCCTCGGTGCACGCCGAAAGATGCTCAAGGTTTTTGAACAGGTCAAGGGTAAGTACTTTCAAGCCAGAGTTGTTTGAGATCAGTGTACTGATGATGTCGCAGAAGCCAAGGCCGATGGAAAGCTGGGCTAGAATCACCACAACCGGGCATGCCCATATATAGACCTGCGAAAATGGACGTTGAGTGGTTCAACTTTGCACACATTGTGTTGGACATGGGTTACAGTCCTGTTACGTTTCTGTTGCAGACTCGATTTAGTATTTTACATTAAGATGAAGGGTCGCCGAGGATCAAAATTAATATTTCGAGTGCGAAAACTAATGAGTTTCCACGAGATCACGTTGTTGATAGTAACGTCTTGCCTTATTTCCACCTCCCAAGGTTTATTCACTTCATCCTTCCTTGTCCAGATGACTCCGTGAGAATGATTTGTGCTCTCTACGACTCTTTTGGTCGGCAGCCAGCTTGCATTTCTGCCATAATTTGGTCGATGGTCTTATTTTGGATCGAATACCCTTCTAAACATGTCGTAGTTGTTATACGTGTACTCCGTATGGTGGAGGATTTGCATGAATGGCATGTGCTTTTTTCTGTCACGTGCTGACATACATATTTAGCCACAGTTGAGAAGGGCGCCACAGCCATCCCATCTTTATCACTACCGCGACTTCTTCTAAGTTACTGACTGCACCCGGCACACCTTGTCCAACCACAGAATGCCCGCATCTTGATAATTTAATTCAAGTCCAGAAGGAAACAAGATGGAAAGGTCGGTATCGTTTCTCGTTGGAGACATGAATATACTGATTGAAAACAGGCAACAAGACAACGCCTCAGATGCAGACTCTGACTTGGAGGAGCTGGAGGGAGATATTGCAAAGTTAGACGAGACTGTTCGAACCTTTTTGGCTGATCAACGGGGTGAGAATGATGCCTCACCTGCAGCCCGTGGCCTCCCGCGAGGTAAAGGAGCACGAGGTCCACGGAAAGCAGCAAAACCTCGAGGAGACATCACAGCACGACTATCCAAAGTAAACCAAGCTTTCCTGAGCGGCGACTATCCATTAGCACTGGATCTTGTTTTCGAAGTCATCAGAATCAATGCTGAAACGCATCAAGCATGGACAACTCTATCATCAATCTTCCGCGAGCAAGGTGACATGAGCAAATCGCTATCAGCGATGGTCTATGCTGCTCATCTCCGCCCAAAGGACGTGCATGGCTGGCTCCATTGCGCATCATTCGCACTTGATAACGTTGCAGATGACGAAGCCGGAAATCTCAACACAGCAAGACTTTGCTATTCTGCGGCGCTGCGGGCCGATCACACGAACATCAAAGCTCGATTGGGCAAAGGTCTGGTCTGTCACAGACAGGGCCATCTTGCAGCGGCCATCTCCGACTACAAAGTTGTTTTGGAGCATCAACCCTACGATATTGACATCGTCAGAAAACTTGCTGAGGCTTGTGTTGACAATAAACAAGCTGAGGCCGCTGTCCCGAGCGCAATCGCAGCCTATAAACGATTCTTTGACCATGAAAGGGCGAAGCCGCAGATGGAGATCATGGAAGCTCCTTGGCATGATATAGGGATTTACGTGGAACTTTTTGCATCGACAGGACGTTACCAGGAAGCTATACAAGAATCCAAGTCACTCTCTCGATGGCTATTGGGTCGAGAGGCAGAAGACTACTGGGACCAATGGACTTCTGACGATCGCGAATGGGACATGGACGACGAACGGCGGGTTGCTGTGCCGAGTTTCACTGCAGGTGTCTGGAGTCCTGACACTTATGGTCAGTCATTTCCTTGGGACCTGCGTGCTCGATTGGCAATATACAGGTTTCGGTTGGGTGACGAGGATGAGGCAATGGTAAGGTCCCAGTTGATTCTAACGATCATGGCTAACGTTTGCTGATAGAGGCATCTGCTGTGGTTTGAGCCGGAATCTATCCTCACGAGAGAATTTGCGGGCGACTTTCCCTTTCTAACGTTCGATCTGGCTGAAGAGTTGGCCCATCGTGGCCATACACCTCTGGCAATTTCATATTATCAGATACTCCGAGATTTGCCTGGCGATGCTGATGCAACCATTCTTTTACAACTGGGACGATGCTATTCGGCAGTTGGAGAGACGGCCACAGCTGAGGAGTATTTTCTCGCTGCCATTGACGCCGATGAAGACAACATTGACGCCCGTATCGAACTGGCTAACATGTACGAGAAGGCTAGAGAGGAGGAGGAAGCTCTCATCCTAGCAGCCGAGGCAATGGCCCTCCGACAAGCTCGAGATCAAAACTTAGGAGGCCATCAAGACTCTATCACAGACTTTGAGCAGCCAAGTCGTCGGGCTCCACGACGAACCCAGGCGGTTCCCCGAAGAACAGATGCATTCGGAAAGCGGCTTATTCCACGACGATATCGACCGAAACGACTGGCTGGTGCTGACAAACGCCGACAAGAGGAGCAAGCTCGTGCCATGAAGCTGACTGAACAGTACGAGATTGTGCAAGATTTGCGCAAAAAGATCAAAGAAGGACAACATAACCTGATTCCGACTTGGATGGCTTCGTCGAAGGAGCTTGTGGACGAGTTTCGATCGATCAAGAAATTCTACACCTGGGACAAGTATTTGCACTTCCTGGGCCCGAAGAACCATTTGCAACAGCATGAAGCCAATAAACCGCAAAACGAGCTTTCACAGATGTACGAAAGACTTGCCAGGAGTGAGTCGCACTCGTTCGATTTGTCAAATATTCTATATGCTAACATGAATTTCAAAAGCCCTTGCTCCACAGCCGGGGAGCGAAAGCCGAGACGATGGGACCTCGAAGCCCGATGCCCATCAAGGAATTTCCTTCAACAACTGGCTTGACTTGTTTTTGGATTACGCTATTGGCCTGGCCATTGCTCACCGACGCGACGAAGCATATCAAGTTTGTGAAGCTGCCCGAGATTCGACTGCTTTTCAAGCACCAGAACATGGCTTTATGATTCATGTGGCATGGAGCGGTGAGTTAATCAGCCATGGCATTGCTCACTTCAGTTACTGATCGTCCTAGTTTGCGCCATTTATACAAGCGATGAGGAGAAGTGTATCGCGACAGCTCGCCAATTAATGAGAGATGGTGCCACATCTGATTCATATCGAATGTTCGCCTTACTGTCTAACCTATGTCAGTCTCCTGTATCCTGGTATACGTCAGGGCCTGCACAGAAATACATTCTCCGACAGATCAAGGCTATGGATGAGGCTTACAATGGCGATGAGACCAATTCCGAAAGGGAGGGGAACGGGGAGCCAGTCCTTGATGCATGTGTCCTTATGCTTTACGGCCACATTCTTTTTACATCGACAAGCTACACATACGCATTAGGTAGGACAACCATGTCTTTCGTCATTGTGAAGTTGCTTACTCTTAGATCCAGGCTACTTTTTACGATCGCTGGCCCTGGACCCTGAGAATCCCATGGTGAATCTGAGTCTAGGACTGGCATATGTTCACTATGGCCTCAAGCGTCAGTCAACCAACCGCCAATACCTGCTACTGCAAGGGCAGACCTATTTGTCACGATATGTTGAGCTGGGACAGCCAGGAGTCACGGAGAGAGGCACTTGGACCAAGGCCGAGGCATACTACAATATCGGCCGCCTCTACCAGCTATTAGGCGTCAATTATTTAGCCCATGACTATTACTCAAGAGCAAAGAAGGCCTGCCGAGGATCTCACAGCCATAACGAGGCTAAAGGTCTTGAGGTTATGATCTTGAGTAATGAATTATTATCTTTAATTATAAATCAGAATAGTACTAAAGCCCTTACTTTACTT